AATTTGAAGGTGCAAAACGCATACCGAATATGGCTACACTGACATTCAAGTTATCCAGAAATGCTCGCAACTTACCTGGATCTTTACTTAGTAGCACAATGTCGTCTGCGTACTCTAGATCAGACAGCCTGCCATTTGGAAGTAAATTGATGCCACTGTCCTCGCACGAGGATAGGATTGTTTCCATAATCAGATCCATAACAAAGTTAAATAGAAATGGAGAGAGAGAGGGCAGCTCTGACGACAACCACAACCACGTCGAAAAAGTGCTTCCCAGCTTTTCAGTTCGCACTTCATGTGTTCTATACACGACGAATGGTACTACATAATTGAACCAAATCCTCCACTGTTCTCACGAAACTGTACGACAAACACCGAGAAGTAAAATGGGTAAGCACAGATTTCTTTCAGATTGTATAAAAGATTCAAACGGAGCTACGGAACTGCCATGACCTATGCCTATATAAATCACTTACCACGGCCTTCAAATTTTCCGACCAGCATGCCAGCAAAACCCATCCCGATACTCGGAATCAGGGACAGGATGAGTTTGGTTGCCAAACCGAGCTCATGATAGTGTTGGGCCAAAAGCTGGTACGGGAGGTATACAAGTATTATAATTGCACTCGACAATGCTGTACCGGTGTGGGCTAAAATGGTGTGTAAGAAAAAGAAAAACAGTGATTGCGAATTGCGTCTAGCACGCGTTGAATATGAATGAAATGAATTACTTAATTACTTAATTCGATGTAGAATATTTCGACCATTTACTCCTCTTCCGACTTAGCGACAGGAAAATGTAACTCGTTCGTGAACTGAGAAGTAAGGAAGCAATGCACCTGCTCTAGCCTTATCAGGTACTCAAAGCATTGCAGATTTATAAGAAACATTGAGAAACAAATCTCGAATGTGACAGGTAGAATGATAAATCCTTCAAGTCTGAAATCAAGAACCTCTTCGATCCGGGTATCATTGAACCAACCCAGCGTCCATAGAGAACGTACGCTATGGCGAAATTCTACGAGCGCCACTATCTGCCATAATAAACTGATTTATTTATTCCCACGCATCGACAAACCGACAACAGAAATCTCCTGCCTCTCTAGCTTCATTTGTAAACCGCATATCACCAGATGCCTACCAGAATCGAAGAGAAAAAGTACACGGTTGTTGAAATATGCAGTAAGCTGTAACAGTTTTGTCGTATTCTATCCTGTGATAGATGGAATTGCCTGCTTTCAGAGGATAACACACAAAATTATCTCCAAGATACATTTTAAAGGTAACTGCGCTTTGTTATACCTTAAAATCCATGGGAAAATGATAACAATCAATG